ACTACGTGGTGGAAATGAATTGCATGTGTGACCTCAAATCCCCATTTCAAGCCTTTTCACAAAGTCTGACTGAGCTTTCAAGCTGCTGTTCAGGCAGAAATGCAAATACAGGTTTAGAGGCCCAGCACAACTAAGCTCTGTGTTCATCAGTCATTTAATGTACACCAAATGGTCTTTGTGGCTCAAAATCATTTTATGCAATACTAAGCAAGGCCCTCGTTGTTTTTGCTGACTTGCAGTAAGCCAGTGGGATGCCAGGCTGCCACCATCAGAACATCTGCTTCATTGGAAAAGTATTTCAGCAGGCCATGCCTTGTAATAAATGATATGACCCTGCAAGGCTGACAGCAGCACTCCTGTGGGCAAACAGCTTGCCAAAGGTCAAAGCCACCCAAATCTTTGGGACCAGCAACATCATTTCTGTCCACTCCACCCTTAACCAGAGTCTTAGAGCTGCAATGGATAAGTGAAAAAATACATCACTGATAATATATCTTCTGCCAGTAAAGAACAAGAGAAGGGAGGGAAAGAGAGGAAAGCTGAGGAGAATGGGAATCCAGCTGTGAAGCTATTTACTCTGCCACTGAAAACAAAGCTATTCCCAGAAGCACCACTTAGTTTGCCTCACTCAGAACTGGGGTAGCAAAATGTGTATATAAACTATTTCAGTTATGAAACAGGTTAGAGAGGTCTTATACAAACACCCTCACTAGCACAGATACCTGTCCATTTTAATTTACAACCTTTCCCAGAACAGTCTCTGACCTTCTTTCTTTTCTTTTTTTAAAGAAGTTACAAATTTTCTTTCATCTTTTAGACTATGAATTCTCCTATAACACAAACCACAATTGCATTTGTAAACTTTTTGCTCCATTCACAATGCAACATCAGTAAAACCCCAGTGAAGTAAAACAGTACAAACACTTTAATTTTACTAACAATGTAAACAGCATCAAAAGGACTTGGGATCCTGTTCATCTACCTGTGACATTAGTAGTCAGTGGATGCTCTGTTGATACAGTTAGAGAAAGGTCTTGCTTCCATTGTTATTGCTATTGCCTTTTGAAGTGAAATGACAGTGGCACTCTTTCGAATGGCAGCATTTTACAGCAATTTAACTTCCTGCCTAAAGAAGGCAAACTGGCATGAAAATTATCTGTAAAGCACAACCACATATACACAGAGTTTATATTTAGATAGATTAGATAGATAGGTCAATATATATATATACACACACACATACATACACACATATACATGCTGGTATTTTCAATACAGACATCACATACAGCATATCAAAGGCCATAGGGATGAAGAATAAATTACTTGGCAAGATTATTTTCTAAAGTAATTTCACAGAAAAGAAACCATTTCCTAAAAAAGCCTATCATTACCCTCCAACCTCTTCTTTGATGAGCACTGCAGCTGATTTCTACCTTCATTTTTATTTACCTTCCATGAAAGCACCACTGAGGACCTAATGAAGAATGCTGGGTAGTTCTGGCATTATTGGATTTTTTGTTATTTATTTATTAGACATGAGAGCTGTTATCAGCAAGCAGTCAGGTGAGTCAAATCAGACAAAGCATTATCTGATTCCTGTGCTGTAAATCAGATTTTAATAGAGAAAAGATCAGTATCCCTTTGGGAATGGAAAGAATATGTTTATAATGTGTTCTGAGTAGGTGCTACACAATAGCAAGTATGAATAAAAATATTTTTTCTAATCAATTTTCCACTTTCTTCTCCAAGTTCTTTCACCCATAAGATGAGAACTAAAATAAATGAAAATTCTGTTTGTGACAAGTGCTAGCAAATAACGAAGATAAGCACTCATAAAGGCATGCATACATGCTGCATTCTCAAACAGACATAAAAAATACTGAATTCTGTAATATTAAAAGACATCATTGTTTCTCTGCTAGCAGAATTTCAGGTTTATCTAATTCAGACATTGAAATGAGACCTTTGGTAGCTTATTCTTGACCTCAAAACAGCTTTTGTCCTAGGTATTTATCCTTGTCTTTTTCTATTCAGAACCTATCAAGTATCATGACAGCACCTGTACACTGGACACAGATAACATTTGACTACCTCTTGAAGGTTTTACACATTTTAATTGGCAGAGTAATATAGATATGCTCAGGCAGAAATTTGTGTTAAACATCAAAAACCTTGATACAAAGCCAGCTCTTTCTTGTATTGCAGTGTTGTTTGAATTTTGATTTGCTGGAAATTACTGCTCACGAAAATGAGGGCTCCCCTACCACCTAATGCATCACTGTTTGAACTAAAATTCTGAAATTAGTTTACTGCCCAGATACATAAATATCCTGAGAGCTCAAAAATTACTTTTTAAAACCCAACTTCTTAGGTCACATCCAATTAATTCCATAACAAACTGGAGGAATAGGCCTTTCATGTCACGCTCTGCTTAAAAATTCCATTCCTTTTATGATTTACACAGGAAAATGAATTTATAACCACAAAAAAATTATTCACTGAGGTTTACAATATATTTACATGGAGGTTTGCAAAGGTGTGTGCTCAGATTGCTATTAATGAATGAACAGCTAAACCTCTGCCATTGCCAGCCATTAGCAACAAGGCTGACATCCATATCACACTTCAGTTTCCATTCCTATTATTCTATTTCCCCCACTTGATCCTCTGCTTCTCCATCCCAATTTACAGGAGGATTAATATTTTTTTGAAGTAAGTGCAAAACTACAGGCAGCATAAAAGTGCAGTAACACAACAGAAGTTAGTATCAAACTTTAACTATCAGAATGTAGATCCTATTTATTAGGGAAAAAATCCAACCAAGACACAACTAACCACATGCTGAATTGGAGATATTGGTTTCCCTCTTGGGAAATGTAATTGAACTTCAATTTTTTAATCAGTATCTGAACAACAACCTAATTCAATGGTTATTCTGCATTTGGATCAGTGAAAAGGTTAGCTCTAGTCACTTGGGCAAGAGAACTGTTTCAGGTTGTAATGACCTTGATTATTTGAGACAGATCGAGCCAATTCAAGGAAGACGAGATCATTGTTTGGTTTTACATATATATCTGTGATTAATATGGAGAAATAAATGAAAGAACTACAACCTGGGAGAAACATGAGTATTGAGACTGAAAACAGCCTATAACAGGATGCAATATATACATCACAAACAAAAACACTGTAAAGTCTGCTCTCTTTCCTCCTGGAAAATAACAGCAACAAGGGTGGGGAGAAGTAGAGATGATGGTGTTGTCTTAAGATGAAACAAGCAGGAAACAGTCACATAAATACTTCTTTGTACCCCAGAAAAAGAAAAAAAAAGAAATTAAGAACATTAAAATCCCTGTAGGTCCATATCTAGTTATGACCAAAATTTAAGAAACTGATGTCTCAACCCTAGAGAGAAAAAATATTTGCTGCCATTTCATCTCCCCCCTGCATTCTCCTCCAGCTGGCACAGCTGACTTGCAATCCCTTTCTCTTTAGCAGATCAGGCAGCCATAATTCAGTTGTAACAAAGAAACAGACCAGACAGACCATCTTTAAAATTACCAATTTCCTAATGAGCACCTTGTAAATCTGATGAAATTTATGGAATTAAACTGAAAAAAAATCTGTTGTACCTGAAAAATGGCTTTTTCAACTAATAAAAATCAGAGGAAAGGGCTTCAACCTCATTGGATCTACAACATTTTGATCCATACATTAGCCTTTTGCAATACAACACAGATTCAAAGATGCTTCCCTCATTAATGAAGCTGGTTTGAACTTGCACCTAATTCTGAAGGACAGAACATTTTCTGAGAAATTAGCACCTCAGTGCAATGGGTTGCAGAAGTTGCTGGACAACAGGAGATGAGCAGATGAAAATTCAGCATTGTATATGTCAACTGTATATATACAAATGAAAATATCTGACTCTTTTTCAAATTAAGGGAATGTCTCTTGTGCAATATATTCAGCTCTTCCAATCCAGTTTAAAAGGACAGAAATATTGCTAGCCAGACAGCTCTTCATCTGGCAATTCTCCCACAATCCAAAAACTAATGCCATATTTATATATTTTATAATTAATGAGCTACTAATGCCTACCACCACCTTAACTGCACGTGCTCAAGCTCTCAGTGGAACCAGCAGATGTTCTGCTCGCTGCACAGTGGGTCACTCACATTAATTCTTAGCCAGTGAAGGCACTGCACTGCAAACTGTGAGAACAGCATGCCCTTTATGCATGGAATGGCTCTAAAGCCTGGACATGTCAATCAGACTGAGACTAGAGCCTCTTAATTACTGCTTTGCTCCCACTTAAGTTTTAATGAATCTTCATTGAAAATATCCCATTACTTTCCTGTGTAAATACATCCCAATTGACTCAGTGTGGGAGGAAGAGGCAGGAGGATCAAAGCTGTTTCGATTTTTTGGGTTATAAAACCTCCTTTCTCTACAGATAAATGTCCCTGGTTCTAGATCAAATGGCATCTTTTCCACTTTAAAATAAGAAAAAGCATCTATTCACTCAGGGTTGAGAAACAGACAATATACATGAAGCAGTTCAGGCGAAGTGAGGTAGCTTTGATAATCTGTATCCCGTTAGTATTTGTCTGTTGTAACTTTATGGCTTATAAACAGGAGTTTAGACACTGCTGGCTTCTTCTCCCTGGAGGGCAATGTATCAAGATGGTAATGTATCATGACCTCAGCAAATGTTCTGTTTGAAGAGCACAATGACTCCCAAATGGAAAATGTGTTTCTGCCTGTGAGATCTCAGGTTTAAACATATTTCTCTTGCCTTTTTTTTTTTTTTTTTTTTTTTTTTTGGTAAAAAAACTCCTTCATTTCTAGGAAAAATTGGCCCGGCAGGGATTCAATGCCATGCTTCACCTTCAAACTCTTCAAACTTGTAAGGCCCTTCATCACTGGTGAAGCTGCTCTAAATGTGTAGGGTCAGGACCACACCAAACCCATTGTCCCAGAGGCATGTCACTTACTGAGGTTCCACTTAAGGCCTGTCGTGGTCACACTCTCGCAGGGGTTCCCGATGGGGATGAGGCCACACCAGGAGCCCTCCAGTCCTGTGTCCACATGCAGCTTGTGCTTGCCCTGCAAGACAGAAGTGTTTCTGCAGTCAGTGCCTGCCCAAATGGCACTTGATCACAAACCTTGCAAAAAAAAAAGAGGAGGTACTTGGAGACAGCTCCAGAATGTCCTGCAAGGGCTCAGGAATATTTGATTGCAGCAGGAAGTCAGGCCACTGGGGTTTATAGAGGGAGGAGAGATGTATGCTTAGGTTCCAGACCTCAGAGCTTTCAAAAGTTTGTTTCTAGGCTTTCCTAAGCAGAATGTAGCTTTCCTCATTTTTCACTGGCATTATTTGAATAGGCCCTTATGTCAAACCTAGGCTCTTTAATCCTGTGAAATGAAGGCATCCTTATGCATTCACATGTTTTTTCCTCATCTAAACAGCTGTGTTTCACTTCCTAAACAGTGCTAGTCAAAGCACCACTGAAGCACTTCAATTATTTTGACAACATCTGTAAAATTTCATGTACTTCTCCAGGCATGTACTCTACCCAGAAGGAGGAATACATGCAGAAATTTAACTAGGTACTAGAGAAATTAACCTAAATATTTAGAGTAACCTGCTTACACTAAATAATGAAAAAACTAAAAACATTTTTTAGTTAAAATGAAAACATTTTTTTTACATCCAAGATAAATTCATCTAGTAATGAAAACATTCATGGGATGCAGGAGAAGCAACAGCTATTAATGATGATGTATTTGTGATAAATCTCTTAATTAGCACTTACAGTCCTGTGTGAACATCCCATGAACAGTTACAAGGAAGAGAAGATAGTGGAAATCTCTAACAGAGTGAAAAGTGCTGACTGTTACAGTTCTAGCACAATCTGTGTTCTAAGAAACTAAGAAAGTGTTTATGGAAACTAGCTACAAGAAACCAGCAAATGAAAAGTAGTGACAAGATCAGTGGAGAAATCATCCTCTGGTCTCTTCTGCACAGATAATTTATTCCTTCAAATAAACCTGGGCTTCCTGTGGGAGAAACTTCTTTGAAATAGAGGATTTTTTTGTATTTTATTTTATTCTCTTGTGGATGCAGGCAAGCAAAACTCTTGAGCATGTCTTTTACACACAAATTCTTAATCATGATCGATAAAATCAGATAGGCCTATTTATAAATATATGGCCTCTGAAGCCCTATAAGTATTCAGTGAACACTTTGTTAAGCAAGAAACCAAGGTTTTATATCAAAAGAAATGAAGAACAGTTGAAACATAAAAGTCAACTAAATGTCCCAAGCAGCAAAAATAGTTCCACAGATTTTCTTAGGAGAATGCATTTAAGCTTTTTTCTCCTGCCCTGTCCTGTCCTATGCTCATTTTACATGCTCTTGCAAATACAAAGTCACTAGTTAGAAAGTCAAAACTGTAGGCAAAATCTCTCATTGCTGAGACATTGATGTCTGAGGCATTCAACAGCTTCTCCTGTTAATGCCAAATGCATTATGAAGAAACAACTTCAATACATGTCATGCTCTCAGTTAACAAATGAACCTTGGAAAAGCTGTCAATTAGGGAATATCAGATTGCATAGCTTAAGTCTATTTGATTGTTTGTAGAGCAAGAAGAAAACCAATCCAATATTATCTGTCTTCTCAGGGTGTCCAGCTTCACGTGGTGATGAGCCATGTATATATGTGTAGTGGTTGTGAATGCTTGCCTGCCAAATTCAGAGGTGTAACAAATTCAAGCTTGATAAGCTTTTAGCTATGCAATATGCCATCCACCTCTCTTTCACAGCATGGAGGGAGGAGGAAAGGAAGAGGAGAGCTGCAAGTACAAGCTCTCTCATTGTGTGATTACAGATATTGTGGATCATGAAGCTGATGATGAGTGAGAGATGAAGGGGTGGGACTGTCTGAGCCCAATGAACGTACATATTGCTGCTCAGAGGTGCTGGAGGAGAGGCGCAAACTACCACATTAATCAATCAGTAAAGGAATATGAAAAGCAGATGAGAAGGTAGCTAGCCCCACAGAGAACTTGATTAAGTTCCATATTCTCAAAGTCTGTGTCTAACTACTACCAGGTTTGCAATTCCTATTTTATGACAATCTGGCCCAGCTTGCAGGTAGGGAATCACTTCAGTAGAAATTTATGCAGATAGCTGTCTTCCTGTGCTCATGAAATAAATCTTTAAAACAAAAGATGCCTACACCAGAGGCTCACCAATATCTAGGATTTTATCAGGAATGTTTCAATGTCTGATACTTCACAAAAATCCCAGTTCACACGTTCCAGTGATTATGTGAGCACAATGATTTTCTTCCCTAAAAGGACATTTTCTATCACTCAGTTGTTAAGAGAATTTCAAATAGGGAGCCTAAATGGCTAAACCCAAGTCAGAAGGTAGGTGAATGGGAATATTGAAATGCACATAATTTTTTTAAAAAAACCTTCTCAACTGTCAGGCCAAACTTATGTTTTAGGGATTGGTTCAATAATATAATAGAAATCAGTTTCTAAGGCTTTTCTTTAAATAAATCAATAAGGGATCTTAATATTACTGGGGATAGTGGGAGCAGAAAAGGGAAATGAATGTTGGGAAAATACAAGCAAGCAAACAAATTACAAATAACCCACTCATTTTTGCCAAAAAATGTTAATCAGCCAGTGCATTTGTACAGTAAAGCTCTAAATTCAAAGCACTGTGAACCTGTCATGAGGGAGATTCAGTTTCCAAGCTTATCTCCAATTTTTTGAGTACAGATCTCTCACCCAAGCAAGATGGAACTGATGTTTGCAGGAGGAAGGGAGGATCAGAACTTGTAATTTGCAAATACAAGTAATAATTTGTTCTATTTGAGTCTGTGTGATTAAAGCAATAATTATATATTGTCACTTAAAATATCAAACTGTTTTCAGTTTCTGCAGAACTCAAATTTCCAAAACTAAGTTTAAAAAGAAAACTGAACTTTGACTAAATAAATTCCTCCTTATATTTTTTTTGCCTCTGTAGGAGGTAACTGAAATGTTTTCACATTTAACTTAAGAATCAAATATTACCATGTTTGAATGTTCCTGGTGATGAAAGAATGACAAATAATACAGCCACATTGATTTTTATCTTATTAAGTCAGTTTTGAAAAACATTGATCAATCTTCAGCATTGATTTTTTTCCTTCATTTTGTTTTGATGCTGGAAAATAAAATCAATTTTTGAGTTCAGCAATAAGAAGAAAATGTCAGAAGATATTTTTAAGAATGCTTTATCCACATAGGTTAAACTTTTTCTTTTGATTCTAATGCCTTGTGTTATAAGAAAGCATTTAAGAAGTCGTGGTTAAATATACACCCACTCCAACACTCTTTTTTGCTGAGGAAAGACCTAAATACATAGTTGTTATTTGCCACATCCAGCTGAAATGAATAGAAGTCTGATTGCCAGGAATTCATACACCTAACCCCATCCAAGGTTGTGAGATGCTAAAATCCTTAGTCAAAATTCTGCAAGCTGAATGCACATGAAGTTGTTAGAGTTGTCTTTTTAAACTTAGTTTTGGAAATTTGAGTTCTGCAGAAACTGAAAACAGTTTGATATTTTAAGTGACAATTTGATATTTTAAGTGACAATATATAAGCATCAAGACAAAAGTGGTAGCTTCCCTACATGCTTGTATACTCCAGTACAAAGAAAATGACTTCTCCAAGTGCTCTTCAGACCATCTTGAATAGATGTGTTACAATAAATGTACACTCTAAAATAGATATCAAGGAACAAAATGTTGTGAAAGAGAGACAGAATGGGGACTAATCTTCAGTAATGCATTCTGAAGGGATCTGAAGGAGGGAAACCTGGAACTTGTCAGGCTGAAGCTAAACACTGAGGAGAGGCATAAAGTCAGTTAACAAGATGCTGGGGAAGCATAAGGAATTAAAATTAAACTTTGAAAAACAAATTAGGAAAGATATAGTAAACAGATCTTGGAAACTGCTAAGTAACTAGGACATGTGAAAGGTAATGGGGAAGGAAAAGAAAAAGGAATGAGTTACCAGATTGAAGGACAAAGCAAATTTATTCTGATTTAAAGAAAACAACTGAATAATGTCATTACTAGAAATAATTAATTTTCTAAAAGGTGTACTTTCACCCATGCTTGCTGTGAGATCTGGAACTACAAAGAAACAGGATTTTTGGAGATCTGGCCAACTGCTCTACGATGCCTCCTCCACTATCTAGATCTTGTTTTCCATGATCTTCTGATAAAACATCTTTTTTATACCAGATTTATTTCTATGATACTCCATAGATGGCAGCACACACCTGAAAGCAATAACAGCAGCAAACACCCAAATACAGATGTCATAGTGTTACCCAGGGAAAAGGCAAAGACCACAATCTGTTTTAGTACATAAACATCTGGGTGCAGAAAATTGTATACAGAAAGAAGGCTTAGGAAATGGGTGGTAATCAACACAATCACCAAAGAAAGCAGCAGAAGGGAGGAAGAGAAAAGGAACGAGGATGAAACAAAGCGGAGAACATTTACGTTTAAAATCAAATATGACTGGCAATAAAGTAAAAACAAAGTTCCAGAAATATTTCTACTAATCATTAGTTGTGTAAGAGCTTGACTTAAAAATAATAAAAGCTTTTAGGCTGAGATTTTGAGCAAGACAAATACAGCCAATTTTTTCTAAAAGGATGTGCTTAAGAAGACCTGTTTTGTTATAATCCTAAAAATATCATCAATTGTCTTTTCACACAAATACACACAGTGCCAAATAGCTATTATGTGAATGCTATTCAGAGAACATTTTCTGAGCCAACCAGACTTTTGCTTGCTGTTGAAAATAAAAGTATCCACAGTTCCAGTAAAAACTTGTATTTCTAAACGCTCTCATATGTCATATCAATGACTGCTTACACACATAGAGAAAAAACAGCAAATTCATTATACTTCCAAATAATATTGAAAACTGTTGGACCCAATCCTGCCAATTGCTACTATCAAAGCTTAGATTGTTCCTGTGCTGAAATGGACAGACTTCAGTGTATCAATTATTTGCAAGACAAAA